TTAGCCTTTTTGCCTTCGACCGGATTTGAAAAGCGAACGAGCGAGTTTCGTTTAATAATTTTTGACCTGTACAGTTAGAAAACTGAAAATCGTAACTAAATTTGGACATGAAAGCAGACAATTATACAGCTGACTTAATAATTGCAGGTTGTTTCTGCTTTCAAAAATCTTAAAATAATTAAAGTTATCGTCACAAACATTATTTCAGTTTGTGTGAATACTTTGCTTTGTTTGTGCGATTTTGTGGTCGGTATAACTCGAAACTGAAAATACGGACGCAATCTAGACGAGCCAAGCATTCAGGGTTTTATAACAAGCACCCATCGTGTGACAAGAGAATACAGGTATCTATGAACAGCACGTGCGTTGTTAAACGAAGTTGTTTTTATCAATAAATGGTTAGAGCCCTGGAGTGTAAGTAGTTCGTATAGTGTCTGAATCGTCCAGTTAAGGGTAGTTCTTAAAATTAAAGACGACACAGGTTTCGAGGTCAAGTGACAATGGGTTCGTGGAATTGTTTGATACGTGTCGTCATCGTATTTGTCGACTGTTAAGTTCAACACTCACGTAATGTTTGTAAACAGTAATTAAATCGTACACGAGTAGTAAATTACAATGAAAACCCGCGTATAAGAACCTAGAATTTTCGAGGTCAGGTTGAACAGGTTTTTACATTTTAGGGCAGTTTTTCATAAGTCAGGCTGATTTAGGTTCCTAATAGGTTCTTATTTTTCAGCGGAACACCAATACATTTATTTTATTTTATTTCATAAGATATTTAGATTTTGAATTATCTGTAATGCACTGTAGCATTATGGAAAACACTTCTACTGAGTATCCAAAAAAATGCATACACAATAACTTTTTGTCAGAAGTTTCCCATACAATCAAAATCCAGAATTTAGACCGTTAAAATTGGAATTTTCTTTTTTTGTTTTTTGTATAAGAACCTATTTTTCTTTGCCAGGCTGAACAGGTTCATATATTTATGGCATTTAAATGTCAAATTTCTTAAATCACTAGGTTCTCATATGTGGCTTTTTACTGTATCAGTTCTGTTTTAAGTCAACTGAGATCGTTCGTTGGTTTTGTTGAGCTCGAGAATAATTCGTTTGTAACGTGACGGTGCTTGTTCTAATTATAAGTTAGCGAGGTCAGTCGCTTCTGTAACCAGTTCCAAGGTTTGTTATTAGATGGTATTCAGCAAAGTCATCACAGATGTGGTATAATTAGGAGAAATCCGTTCTTTATATCGAAAAAAAACCCTTATTCTCTTGTCAACGGCAGTTACACAGTTGATGGAGCAACTGAATTGCCACTGTAGCGAGCTACTAAGCACCGACTGTTTTGCAGACATTAAAAAAAGATCTTGAAATAACGCTAAATAATCAAATGAACTATAACCAGTTAATCAATTTTTGATGTTAATAATTTCTGACCGAGATGAAATAACGTAAATTGTAATCGTGAACAGCGCTAATTCTTTGAAGAATTTCCTCCTTAATCGTCGATACCAGTTTTTCCACCTCTCCAGCTTTGTTGCTCCTCTTTCAGTCCTCTATGCTAAAGACAGCTTTCTTGAGTTCCTGAAAACAGAAATGAAAAAATCTAGATTTGCAAATCCTTAATGCCAAAAGTAGTGCATCGTTAAGAGCTTCCACAGACTATAACACACAACAAATTAATACTGGAGAGGCTACGAGACTGGCAAATAACATTTTGAAGGGCAAAATTTGACAATTTGGTCATGGTACTATAACGAACATTCCAAAAGCAAGGAAACTAAACAAAGGAACGGAAAAATATGGCAAAGCAATTAGGAAAAGTTACTCTAAAACATAAAGCTACATCTACAAGCTTTTGGCCTGGGTTTTTGACATTTAGTGTTCGTTTTTGCCTTTAAAAAAAGTAAAGACCCTGAATTATTCGTGTCTATCATAACCAAACCTCGTTTGGTTCGGGTGTGTCAGACGACTAAACTGTCCGAAATTCAGGCTTATTTTTGTAGGGCATTAATTTTTGTTACAGTGCCATTAAAATTGCATGGCCGCCCTTGAAATATTGCAAGCCGAAGACGGAATTGAAGATACCGACCGCTTTGCTGTCCTGTTTCAAGATGAAGCGACGCTCAAAGCGACGAACGAGACCACGTGTTTACTCACTCGGGTAACAGTTTGGCATTCGTGTGACTCTCCGAGCAAAATTAAGGGAGTGTTTTCTAAAAAGGTGTTTACATTCAGCTGGATAAGAGTGAGGACTTCTTTCCAAGCGTTAAGTCCTTCCAGCATCAAGCATCTTCTTCCTTCGGGAGTAAAATTAGTCCTCACACGAACGTCAGTCTTCGCTCATCAACGAACAGTTTGAAATGTGCAAAATTCTAAGATTGCAATGAATATGTATTAGAAACTCAAAGCAATAGCTCACAAACACACCGCATATCCCACGAGGAATTTGCTTTCACGCTTTTTCTGCCAGCGAATCATCAACCACGAGAAATTAAAAGAAGACTTCGTGCGCTGTAAGAACTTGGAAGGAGCATTCCCTCTTGTTTTTGAATACTGTGTTTTTATATTGTTCTCTACAGGTGCTCTTTTTATTATTATTTTCTGCTCGTTTCGGAAGAATCAGTAAATAAAAACTTCAAAATTCATCTTTTAATTTATAAAAGTGATTTGTCTAAGCTTGAATCAAAGTGAGTTCTGAAAAATTAAAGCGGGAGTTAAGATGATCTGAAAAGACCGCTATCGAAAGCGTAAAACTTCAAAAGCAAAATGTACTGGTGCAAACTTTTAATTGAGCGTTTTTCTAGAACGCAAGGCTAGAGTATGCAAAAGAGATATTCCAGTTTCGTAGGAAATGCTAGCTAGTGATCACGAAAATCAAATGATCCTCAATCCGGGTCGTAAATGATCCCGTGGAAAAAAAAAAAAAGAATCAAAAATTGAGAATGACATATGGAGTTTGATCTTCGGATCAGCTTTTCTTGGTTATAGCCTCAAACGAAAGAAATTAAATTTATTCATTTTACGTTTCCTTAACTAGTTCTTCAGATAAATCAATTGTGCAAATCGCATATACAATCGAGATAAGCAGACCAAAAAATAATTATATTTTAAGCGTATATCGATATCAATTTAAGTGGTGAGAACTTTGTAGGGGTAATCAAATTGCGACGAGTGAAATTAGGAAATTATTTTACGCCCGTTTTGTGCAAATTCTAATAATCGCCCGAGCCTTTAGGGGAGGGAAATAATAAGAATTTTGACAAAACGCGAGTGAAATTATTTCTTGATTTCACGAGTATACCATTCGATGACCTCGTGATACCATAGGTGACAAAATTACGCTTATAATTGTGGATGTTTGACTTGTTTATTGTATCGACAAATTTCGCGCCAAACTTTGCCTTGGCAATTTTGTAATTTCACATACGAAATTATAAATTAGCGATAAAACTTCGCGCCAAAATTAAGGAGTAATTTGTCAGCCATTATACTACATAAATACTTAAATGCGAGCGATTTTTTTACCCAGATATCATCTCACGGCGTGAGATGACGCACTCTTATTTCAGCCTCTCTCTAGTCCAGTCTCCACAACGGCAACGGCGTGCGTCCCAACTGCCAAGACTACCTTTTGACAACGACCAACGACCAAAATAAAGCTATGATGCGAGCAAAGAAAAACAATCTGCTGGAAAAATCTAATCGGGCGAGAGGAAGCCGTGTTTGTTTGTTTGTTTGTTCATCCTGTGTGAGAGAAATTAACGGAACTCAGGCACTGGGAAATAATTTGCTTTATAATTTGACTTGCAGATTTCAAAGGTCTTGTAAAATACTCAAAACATTTAACAGCATTATGGTAAAGTAGTAATGACTACAAATCACAATAGAATTAACAGTTGCAACATAATGGACCGATGAGAACTTGAGGTAGACACAGAGAAGGCGCTTCAGCTTGTCTCGAGTTGGTTTTGTTTAGCATCTAATTACTCTCTATATAAGCCTTTCCACTAA